AATGTAATTTTATGGTTAAATGAATCTTACTTGAAGTGGAACTTGTCGGAAAAATTTTGAATGGCAATATTACTCGCGCTGTGTACAGCACCTTTGTCTTTGCCCCAAATTGAAGATATGCTTTATATAACAACAGAAGCGTTACAACTTTCCAATGGAATCTTTTCTTTGAAATAATGCACTGCGGCTTCCGTGACCACATTATGAAACACTCTTAGGGTACAAGATATAGAATAGCTTATTTATTTTAAGTTAAATAGTTTCTTAAATATATTTTAAGCTTAACTATACCTAATTATTTTTCTAATAATCCTGCTAATATTTAACAAAACCCAACAGAAAATAAGTATTATAAAACAAATAACTATGGAAATGTATCACAAACTTGCATTGCTATGGAGGGATTCGGACAAAAATACAATTAAGTATTTATGTTCCCTATAAAATCTCAAGACACAAACTCATATTTTATGTGGAGCCGCTGAACCCAATTACACATGAATGGTTCGTCATGATCAGAGATTTTTGGGATCAATAAAAACTTACGACGAGATTTATTCCCCCGCTAGGTCGTCATCCATATACTAATTCGTCTTATTAACTTGATAATAAATTCTATACTAATTAATAAGGTGAAATCACCCAAAAAAATCACGACTACCTCACTTCATTAATTTTTTTAATGTATTCGGTTTATAAAAAAAAATTGTTTATAAATTATATTTCCCATAGTATTTATTTTATTGAGTTATCGTAGCATTTTCCCAACGAGGATACAAAAAATGCGATGCTTAGCGTTGATTATGCATGCATCTAGAGATATATTGGCGTCATTAATTGATTTCAATCTAAGCTAATGAAAATAAATATATTTTAAGCAGCTAATGTCAGGGTCAGAATGCAAAGCTTTATTCGAAAACTGCGCATGTCAATCAATAAAACTGAACGAAACGGATTTAACCCGTACGAATAATATGGACATGGTATATTGTGTGAAAGAAAATCTTACACCTATAGGTACATACTTAAATTGTACTGTATGCAAGTATTTAATTGATAGCCTTATTAGGATATGGCATATGACAGTAAAGTAATTAGAAATGATGAAAAAGAAAACTTACTGAAATAAGTAGAAAAAATTATAAATAAACTAGTCTCTGCCTTAAACACCACTTAGTATAAGAAAATAGAATGCGTAGCCAATTCTCATGTATTAATGAATCATCGAGTCAACAATTGTAATAGAGACAAGTAGACACGAAATATGAAGTTTATTAAATATTTCTAAGAATTAATGTTATGTATAGCTTCTGTGGTTTCCTGGAGAGATTTATAATTACTTTTAAATGAAAGGTCTTAATACTAAAATAATATATACATATATAAAAGCTATAAATTATATAAACGTAAAGATGTTTACTCTTTTTAATAGCTTAATTTTCTTGATAATTCTCCCCGACCCAGTACTTTTTTAACATTAGAACATTATTTTAAATATTGATATTCAGTCACTGAGTATCACATTGGAAAATGTTTCATAATCTATAACTTTCTAAAAAATTAATATCTATATATTTATAAGTAAACATGTTTCATATCGTTCTTGGGACAAAAAAGTATTGAAGTACATTTATTATACTTCTATATATAAAAAATCCGTCCCAAACATATCCATAAGTCTATCAACGTTTACCATTCCCGTGATAAAAGTGACCACACTGATAATTTATTGGGCATACCAAGCAGAAACTTCGTAAAAATAAACATGAATGGCTGCCTTATTGGGGCTTGATTTAATACTGTCAATAAAACAGTAACTAACCTTATATAAATTACTAAACAAATAAATAACATCATTGGTCATCAACTTTATATCCGTACATCGTCGCATCAAATTGGATGCTCTTCGATGCTAATACCGGAATGATCAGATAAATTGATGCATCATATAAGGACATGTCATTCCTTACTTTAATTACATATAGCAAATAATTGACCATACTAAGTTACCGTGTAATAATATATTGTAAACCGACACGCTGATTTACTTTTACTAAATAGATTTGTAACTATGAGTACATATCTATTTTCTTGAGTACGGTTATTGTTTTATACAACCAAAACAAAATGAAAATTAGAGCTTTTTAAATAGTACCAAGATTAATAAGTGAAAGCGAATAGTTTTCAAATATTATTTTTATACAATTTGTGTAGGTACATAGAACAAATTTTGATTTTTTTAATATATTCATTTAACTGATCTGATGCTGCATATACTAAATTATCGGGTACCAGAACTTAAACAACATCTATATTTTCACTAACATCGCGTTTTTCAAAATTTTTAACACATTAAGATGTTTATGACTCTTACTCGGCAAGTTATTTTAGCAGTAACTGCGCACTTACGAATATTTATGTTATAAAGCCATATAGAGAGCCGCAGAAAGGCACCGTCTAATCACTCCGAAGTCATTAAATTGAGGCCATAACTCTCTACATAGTAGCTGGCATGTATAAATACTAATAATTCTTAGTAAGCCTTTGTATCGGGCCAGAGATTGATGACGGTTCTCCTTAGGTGGCCTGTTAATAAGCATTCAGTAATTCCAATTATGTCCCGTGCTTTCATAATTGAATTTAACATTTCACGTATGCATTGAATATGGTGTTGTTATTTGTAAAGATTTGTTTAGAACTATGCGTGTCATCTGATTCCATCCGGATTGAATTAAGGACAAGATACAAGACAATGATCACCTTATTTAGAAAACCTTTGTTGAACCGCATCACTTTAATCAAGATGATTATAAAAACAATTTTATTTTAACTCTAAATAAGTAACTGTATTTTAATGTGGTATAAAAACTACGATAATAATTATAGCAATTTATATTTAAATTAGATAGAAATTAAACAAATTAAGCAGTCAATGTTGTTAAGATCGTCAGATACAGAAATTTATGTTATAAATATATTTAAATTTAGGCATAACATTAAAGTTACATTTATTTAATGATTATCGTCTACTAGCAATGATTACAATTTAAAATTAAATTTTATAATAAAATAATATGTTGAATTAAACTTACACATATTTTAAACAATTATAAAAAAATAAGAAAAAGTATCTTTTTTTGAACTTCCTTTCTTCAGGGCTTTAGGGCTAATTGCAGATGAACACAAATGACATTGGCATTACTATATAAATTTTAAGCCTTAATCCCTATTTCAATAAATTGTTAATTAAAGAAAATTTAATAAATGTTCTCTGCTTCGTCGTTAAAATATAATAATTGTATATATAATTTGAAATACTATGAACACACCATACGTTATTTAATATTCAATTAGTTAATTGACAAGTAAAAGAAATATCATACATTTACATTATACGTTTTTCAATTGCAGATTATTTATGCAATTTATATTTCACCTTGCTAATTGATTCGAATAATTGAGGAAGTGTTCTCTCGTAAATCATTCTTGTAATACTCAGCTTCCTCCGAAACAAAGTTGATCACAAAATAATAACATACATATGGGGAAGTATATTTTTACAAACATCATAACTTTCCGCTACCATAGTCAGTTTTTTTTAAATTATATTAATATATGTATTAATTAATAAAATTATAACACCTGAAATAAAAAGTGCCCAGGATCATTATACACTGTCGTATAGAGTATAGACCATAAAATTAATTATTAGTTACAAGTGAGAAGAAAATGCTTTCAAAGGATGAAACCCATTCATATATTAGACATTCATTAGACATGAGAAAGGACGTTAATGAAGGACCTGCATTTGACGTGCACTGACAGCTAATATTGTGTTCAAATTGATTTGTGTTCAAAGTTGAATTGATTTTGACAGAATCAATAAGCCACTGAGATGATGCCGAGATCAAGGAGTGAATGTCATGAATTCTTTCTTCAAAGCAGTCAAGTACCCTATAATTTAAATCATATTATCTTTAAAAATTGTACCCAGTTATTTATTTTTTTGAATATTTTTTTGGAGAATAAAAATAAATGAATAAATGAAAATTTGTATTATAAGATTTTTTTAAACCTTTCTAATACGATGAATATTGAAAATAAAAAATGCTTTAACTTAAAAGCTATTCGAGGGCATGTAATGTACAATACGATCACAGTAGTTACTGACAAAACGATGCGATAGTAATTAAAAAGAGAATTAAAAGGTTCGACTGAGGCTGACAATAGCTCCAAGATAACAAGACAGCAACCAGTTTAAAGCTGCTCTAATCGAATATGGTCTTTATGGTTGTCTTTAACACGATTATTATATTTTAAAGAGGTCTTGTGTGACTTGCACTTTGTTCCCAAAGCGCTTCTACTTGAGGTGTCGATCTGTCGAGTAAATAGCTTTGCGTTTGAGTGATTGATTAATGACAGAGCCGGCGAAAACAGACCAGCTACCCAATTAAATACTTCTGAAGGGACCACTAGATGGGAACATCGTATAGACTATTAAGTGATTCATGGTTTCTTATTAACACCTTGTAATTACTTAAAAGATTTTCACTATAGATTCTGTAAGATATTATTGATTAAACTTTTAACTAATCTAGCACATAAACAATAAAATTATGAAAGTATTATTTAATTTTTTGTTTATATTTTTCCATTTATTTGAAAAAAAAAATAATTTTCAATGTTTTTCTGCTAGTTAATGTTTTTTTTTTATTTACACTGTGTAACTTTCCTTCTACTTTCCATACTCTTCACTTATTTTATCTCTTTTTCACTGATTAAAAATTTTCCGGACTTCTTTTTTAACTTCATTCCAAAAAGCCTTCAATACAGACATAACATACTCTTTAAATGTTTTAAAAATATTACTAGCCTGCATTTTAATAGTGAAGTAATATTGTGACAGTTACAGTGTCACCAAAATTATTGTCTGCAATGTATTTTGTGTCAAGTTTAGATTTCGTTTGTGATATTCCTTTTTCTTAGTAAATCATAATATTATGGTTTACTACAGTACATCAAGAAATGTAAAAATGCTTAGAAGTATAATTATAGATTATAGAGCCTCTCAAGAGACTTCTCCATATGAGTATATGAAAATGTACGTAGAAAAACTTCCCGAAACAATGGAGGATACTAAAATCTCTTGGATTGTGGAAACATTTTTGGGTATTCAGAAACATTCAGAATTTTTGAAAAATATTACATATCATGTATCACAAGAACTTTCAGAAGACGACCAAGATTTCTTTATGATAGTTTTTTATGTCGTTACTTTCGAACTATCTGCATCCAATATGACTCTTCTTTATAAGTGTTTGTTTAATTTGAGTAAGCCACTTCTAAAGGTGTTTACAAATTTTTTAAGTAACAATGAAGCCCTCACTGTGATATCCCAAATAGCGCACAATGAATACGATACTAACTTTGTAACTGAGAAAATCATTAACCCATTATTTACGTGGCAACCCTACATTAGTGAAATGGGACACAACTATGCCGAATTCATGAATAAAACTGAAAGATCAAAGATAAAAATGAATACTATACCAATACAACCGAATGTTTTGAATAGGAAAAGTACAAGTCCTAATGCTAAATTTTCCCCAGATTTACCACCTACGCCGGCGAATTCTGTCCAAAACAAAAACAAAAGCATGCTTACTAAAAGTACGATTGATAAGAGACTTAAGCAAATTCATGATAGTAATAAACAAAAAGCACTAAATTTACTTCAAGATATAAAAGCAAATAATCAACATTATACTCAGGGAAAATCCGATAAATATTTTAAAACTTTGAAAAATCTTAAGGAAGATATAGATCATAAAAAAAAGAAAGTTACCTTGCAATCAAAATCACTTTTAATGAACCAAACTCCACCTTTAGTTAAGGAAACAGCCGCGACCATAAAAAGAATAAATAATACAATACAAGTGTCTGAAAAGAAGGAAATTCAGTGGCTTGAGGATTTATTATATAATTGTAAAAACACAACTAAAGTAGAGGAGCTTGAGTATTACGATCGCCAAGAAAGAGAAAGAGAAAGGTTACTTGATATTGAACGAAAACATTTGGTAGGTCAAATTTCATACGAGGAAGCAGTTATTGCAAAGAAAAAGTTAATTGATGATAACAAGAAGAAACACGATAACTTTCTCAGAGAGAAACAAATATGGGAAGAAGAAATTGAAAGATGGCGAAAGAGTGAAATGGAAAAAAATCGCATGAAAGTTGAGAAATTGTCACTCATTGAACTTGAGATGCTTCATGCTAGGAATAATATTACAATAAAGAAAAAGGAAACAGCTGAGAAAATAAGAAAAGAATCTGAAGAAAGGTTAGCTCAAGCTTTGAAAATACAAAAAGAGGAGTTGGACCGCAAAATACAAATGATAAAAGAAATAAATATTCTTGCACATATAACAAAGAAGTCTAAACTACCTAAAATAATAGATCTAACAGAAAAATCTGGAGTAGGCCTACTATGTGAAATGTCGATTGCTGAGTTACAGGAACGATTGAGTATTTTTAAAATTGGCCTTAAAGAAGAATTAGAAAAAAAGAAACATGAAATCAAATTACAGAATCGGTTAGCTAAGCAGGAATTGGATGAGACAAAGAAAAATATTGATAAATATATGACTGAGCAAGCAGATATGCGAAAACAGAAAAAAAAACCACCAGTGTGCGTTGGTCATTCTTCATGTAATGAAATCAAAGAGTTAAAGAAGGTTCTAGAGGAGAAACGTAAATTACGAATTCAACTCACTAGTTAAATTAACAGTTGTGGTTTTATTAGATTTTTTTTTTCAATTCCACTGTACTTTTTATATAGTATATTTATATTAAACATGTTGTTAGAAAAAAACAATCAGATTATTTTTAATAAATAAAATGGTAGGTACCTAATTTTTACATGTTTAGTTCTTGATATTTTTAATATTTGAATTGGATTATCTAATATGATAACCTTTTCATGCAATATTCACAATCGAACAACAATTCACAATCGACAATTTAGTGATAGCAAATTAATTACAAACGCAAAGGTATTCGTAACTAATATTTAATAAAGTAAATGTCTAAATACATGTCTATTTAAAAATACTTAAACAATTTAAAAATTTGAAATATAGTTTCAATATAATGAAAAATAATCAAATACGGCTTTGATTTAGGGAGCAGAATTATATCAAGTTGTATCAAGACTAATGGTGTCTCCAGGCGGGTCCAATAAGTGTGCGCGCGTGAATTCGCTGCAACACTTAATTAGTAGCTGGCAAAGTGAAATATTGGTAATGGAATTTATATCGACAATACCGTATATCTTATTACATCTTAAAAAATACAATCGTCTAAATCTAAATACAAGATATATTTAATATAATCTTTTAAACATCAATAAATAGTAATTTATTAAAATGGATTGTGTGCTAATAGTAACGTCGATATCAACATAATAGAACAAATCGGGCGACAATTTCTTGAAATCCCAAAGAACTAGACGATATAATTTGGATTAAAGCAATAAATATGTCGGGGTTGCCTGTTCATTTGTATCGGCGTATAATTTAAATTCTTTAACGCCAATGTTCAAGATTACGCTGTGAGATAGAGGCGCGGGCGCCCGTGTCTCCACGACAACCACTAAATAAATTTATATATCCGACCGATACGGTACGACTTCTCTCTTTGTAGATAATTCGACCGGTAACGTTGAATGACTCTATTAACAGCTTCCCTTTTAGGGATAAATGACGATTTTAAGGCGAGGTGTGTCGGTATGTGTAGCATGATCCCGTTTTTACCAAATCACAACTCCAACATTTAGATGAAATTAATATCATTGGGAACGTTTAACTGTGAACAAATTTGTTATTTCTATCAGAAATGATATCCCGATCCCGAAATATAACTCTTCTTAGAATAAAATATAAATGGAAAAAACATATATAATAAAATAATATTTAGAATAAATCTATCCTTTCGACTACAGTGAAGTTTGGACAGCCCTAAGAATATGGCTCATCTTCCGAACATTAAGTCGATAAAAGTAAAACGTCAATAACCACCTAATTGGGAGAGAACACTCTGCCCACAATCACAAACCCCGAGTGAGAAACAAATAAATATTGTAACACACATCGAGATAATTTGACTGATAACTTAATGTGCTTACATTTTGGATCAGTTCATGGTTTTATGGAACTACCAAAGATATTATCTGCTTATATCAATAAAAAAAAGCTTTTTTTATATAATAATTAAAACAGTATCCTAATCATATTATTCATAACGAATGTATTCATAATTTTGATTCGACGTTATATATATAACTCTTCATATATGTATATAATATGAAGAGTACACGATTCATTTTATAACAGAAAATCATTACATACTCGTATATTATTGTCGGCTCAGACACATAACACATAACAACAACAATAATACAATTTTAATTATGTTACTTTTATTTGATTTTATTTAAAAAGATACTAAAATCTATAGCTTTGATAAATACTACATTAGAGCCGAGGCTTCCAATCACTCGGTATGAACAAAACATAGTCTCTTTAATTTCAGCGTTCCAGCTATGTACATAAAAATTTAATGGGCTATTTGGACAGAATCAGACAAGGATTCTTTAGTTTTTGCGCTGTTAAGGAACCAATACTCTTATACAAATTTTAACAATACTAGTGGGGTATCATGTTATTATTAGAATTTTATATTACTAGATAATACATATATCTAGTAGTATCAATAATATGTAGTAGTAGTCAGTAACCTAAATGAACTTCTCTTACAGATGTAAGACAAGTTCGTTTTGGTTACTGATTTATAAGCTAATGACTTGGACATTGAAGAAATATTTATTTTATAAATTTGTGATATTAGTAATAAGAAATAAATGGCTTAAAACATAGTAAATAATTCCTGAACTATAACCATAATCTTAGATTATATCTAAAATAAAAACAACGCATACCCAATTGAAATAGTTTTATTGCGATGTTTTTAAATAGCTTTATGTCTGAATATCTTTTATTTCTTATATTTGTCCGATGAGAAACAGTTCGCAGTGTCCAATCGGCGCTTCAAACGGGGGATAAAATTTATTGTTATTGGATCGGGTGGCATACATGCATCCACACTTCCCAGCTATCACGAGCGTACAACTTTATCTCGAGCAATATTCCCAACACAGAGTGCCTTCAACGTGTTGCGTCCCACTTTTATGTGACAATTCGGCTGAAGACTGACAGTTTAAACTTACCTGACATTTATAAAAAATCTTCCATTTACCTAAAACTATAAAATTTTAAACACAATAACTAAAAATCTAAATGAAAAATAATCAAAACGAATCCCCTTTTTTTAAGGAGAAATTGTTCGATTTTTAAGGAAGCATCAATCGATGTCAGTTACATTGAGATGAGGATCCTATATAATCACATATACAATGAAAATATAATTTATAATAACATTTTTCTACCTTAAATATTAGTTTATTAAACTTTAGTCTCGACAAAGACTAAAAAGAGACGAAACTACTCAGCATTCCATGGATTCACCGTGCGGGTGCCGGGTCCATCGCGTTGCAGGGAGAGGAGCTTCAACAGTGCCTGGGACTTGCGACCCAAGTGTAGGTTTAAAGGACCCCTTAACTAACGCGCGTTATACGCTCACCTCCACTGTCCAAGCTCCTCTCCCTACCTAACCAAATTTGAAAAGAACCTACTAGGGCTGCCTTCGATATACGTTCCAAGAATGCATTAATGTAAGTTCTGGACAAGCCCAAGTCCTTTAGTAGGTTGTAGAGAGATTTCGCTGTTATACCTCTCGCTCCCACCTCTACCGTGTACAAATCTACTACGAACCTATTTCGAGTGAGTTCGTTTGTGAGCTCGTAATATTTGTTGACCTTGATGGTATGGTCTTTGGGGATGTTGGTTTCCCAAGGGACCGTAAGCTCTATCATCACTACGCATTTTAAAATTCGCGAAAAACAAAAATATATCCGGTCTGGAGGCCGACGCACAAATATCCTCGGGGATTTTGTATTGTTTTTCATACGTGTCCATCATTATAGTCCAAGTCTTATTTTCCCAGCGGTAATGAAAAAATAATGAACAAAATAGTTCAAAACTGATTGAATCAAAGCAACCGGACGTCCTTACTCCTGTCACATTTATAGTAACATACGAAAACTTTGTTTCAACTCAGATTTACGTATATGCAAGATTTTTTTACACGTATATGCAATATTTTTTCATACAGGCTTAATCATAGTTGTAAGCTCCTTTAAAAGTATTCTCTATATATTCGGTTACGTTTATATTTGTTATTTTTAAAAACAATTAATTTAGATATTTTTCATTGATATTAAAATAGATAAAATAAAATTATAAAATAATTTTATAAAATAAAATTTTGTCTTTCTTTACAATAAAATAAATAAATACTATTGACATGTTTTTTATCTTTTTGTAAAATTATGGAATGTTTGGTATAACACCAACATCTATCAATATTTCCGGGAGATGTAATGTACGAAGATCATGAGACTTACTGTTACTGTTCTTATTTAATATCTAAATCAATTGATTTGCCAATTTTCGTATCAACGTGTTATGACATAACTGAATTGAATAATTCTTTTAATAGGTATGTAGTAGGGCGCACCTAATCATTATTCGGTGATATTTTTTTATAATATATTTCTTTTGAACCAACTTATGTTTACAGCTAATTCATTTCTTTGAATAAACGATATTATAAATCTTATTCGATTCCCGGTTTTTGTTCTGTACAGTGATTGTCGATATCCGGTCCGATCGTTTCAAAAGCTTTAATCGACAAGTCGAAAAAAGATAATTGTGTATGAAACGATTGTTATAAATAATGCCTAATTAGAAGCACACGGTCTGAATGTGAGATAATTATCGGTATAGGATATGGTTCTTAGTTTTTCACGACTGTGTTTGTCGGTTTTCATTTCTGGCGTTAAAAGCTATATTGTCTTGTAAAGTTTTGCATAAGTGTGAATTCAATTCAAAATAAATATAAAGATTCCTTTTCTAATTCTTTAAAGGTCTCCATAATTAGATATTTAAAGTCCATATATTTTTTTATATTTTCACTTCAATCTATAACAAAGAATATATTAAAACAAGTGGTATTATTTTCTATATATTTTATTTTAATATTATCATAGGTACGTATTTAAATTGTCTATTTTATGTAACACATAGAGTTTTATAATATATCTAATAATAAATACCAAATTCCTTAATAACCTTATGTAAACATAACAAAACATTACAATCATCTAATGGTGACATATTTACATAAGAGAAAATTTTACTATTATTAAGTATATTTAAAAATAATATTAAGTAATACATTATGTACATAAATAAAAAACGGTTTTTATTTACAACGACTTATAGTACTTCGATCCATAATAGGAACTATAAAAGAGGACCTTGATTTCCAAACATTATTTCCAAGTATTGTAAATTTCTAATCATGTGCTTTTTATTTAAATGAAAAAAATATAAATTTTGCAAATTTTCACTTAAAAGGAACCTCTACTTTTATAAATATGTATAAAAACGGATCTGTTTGTGCATATTAAAAATGATATCTCATATTCTATTAGCCATAAATTAAGGTTTAAAATTTACATATATGTAACTTAAGTTTAATAAGTTTACATTCGGAACATGCATAGTTAATAGGAATCACATTCTTATCAGATAAATTAACATTAATGACATAATCAACGGTCATGCTTAGTTAATTGTAGCGGCACGTCATTGGTCGTCGTCATTCTATGTCGGCTCGGGCTCGGTGATCTAGATCTCATCGCATTTATCTGTTTCTCGGCCTCGTCTTCACTCTCATCGTGAACGTTTATTTCCTCATCGGAATCTGAATGAGATTCATATCCGCGGGCTAATTGTATCGATTGTGCGGCCAATAACGCCGCTGCCGCTGAGTTTGGTACGAGCGCTTTAAATGCGCTATTCTCTAGAGCTGGGTGTGATTTAAACGGGTTGCTATCAAATGTTGTTTGTTGGGATAAAGCTTTTAGTGCGTTCGTTTCGAATTGGCTTTGATGCGTGAGGGCTTTCAGTGTGTTAGTATCTTGATGGCCTAAAGCTTTGAAAGCACTATTTTCACCGCCCATTTGAGGAGCGTGGTAGGGAATTCGGGTGGGGGATAAAGAACGTGAACGGGAACGAGAGGGAGAATGGGGGAGGCGGTGCGAAGGAGAGCCACCGCGTTTGAGGAGATTCATGCGCTGGTGGCGCCTCCATTTGGCTCGTCTGTTGGAAAACCAAACCTGTCAGTAACGGTAAATAAACTCGATTAGTATTACATTCAAAATATGTTAAATAATCATAAAACTTGCATTTTAAAGATATTACATTATGCACGCCTGTTTACGAGGTGTCGAATTAATAAGATAATATGGAGCAGATAAAATGTAATGTTTATTTTTGAAATAATTTTAATTATCATTTACCTGAACTCTTGCCTCGGATAAAGAAGTCTTAGAGGCTAATCGTTCTCGTGTTGAGACGCAGGGATAATGTGATTTTTCAAATTCTTTTTCTAACTCTTCTAGTTGATCAGGACTGAAAGTTGTTCGATTTCGCCTAAACTTTGGTTGTTCCCCGTCTAGTGATCCCGAATCGTCGCCATCCACATCTAGTCAAGATATATTAAGTAAGATTCGTGACTATATCAGTTATGATGGCTAAATTAAATATCAACAAATAAGTAATATGCATAAATTAACTTAAAGCTATATAAATTAATTAAACAAATGTATATTTTTAAGATAATGCATTGGTTTCTATTTTATTTAATTTAAGTAATAAAGTTAAAGAGTGCATTTTTACAACTATCTCATGGTATGAGTTGTGTTCGTTTTGTTTGTTTTTTTATTAATGCTAAAGGTGTTTTACTTACCAATTAAGCTACGCCCCGACGACGATAAAAAGCCTTGTTTTACTGCATCTGGATGAGGTACTCCAACTGAAGAAGGTGGTACTCCTGGAGGTAGGGGCAGACTTCCAGGTGGCCATACACCACCACCGCTGGCCCAAGGGAACCCGCCATATGGAGGTGGTGCAGCATAAAGACCATATCCCGCTGCTCTAGCAAACTCTGCTGCAGCCCTTTCCGCGGCTCTGTTTCTGAGTATCCGATTGATTGAAGACACACTGGGTGCTGTTGCATTAGTACAGACGCCTATCAAAAAAAAAGAAATTATATAGTTTATAACTACTCTTAATTAACATTAAGTTTTTTTATCATTCTTTAATACAATTAACTTAACCTAGTAGATATATAATACAAAAAAAAAACTATTTCCCCGTCCGCATTATTATTAAGCCAAGCTGGACTTGAGCGCGCAAACGTTTCTTGATTATAGTTTTTTGCGATGTTTCTTAGGAACGTGTAGTACAAATAATTATATCATACACATAATGAGTAGCCAGAATGGCGCGTTAAAACTGGTGTCTCATTGGTCGCGTTTTAAATTCGTTGTCATTATAACGTTTAATGCGTGCTGCTGGATCGCGTGCCGGCACAGCCTTGGCAGAGCCATCCCATATAATTTTCAGGAAACATTCTACGTGAGTGCCATAATTTAATCATAACCTGTCCGTTTGTAATTGTCGTAGATTTTGTTGTTGAGCTACTGAGCAGTTACCCTGCTTGGAGATGTTATTCCGAACGGGTATATTGCGTAACGTACAACTTTTTGTCAATATTCCCCATAATATATATAAAATTGAAGTATGTCTTTATATAATAATGTTAGTGTATGTAAAAGTTGATTACGAAATTCATTATGAAGTTTTATGTATGAAAGGGAATAAGAATATTTTTTGCTTACATGAAAAATAAAATCACAATTAATTTATAAATCAATATTACATTGCTTCATGCTTATATTTTGAATACAGGTAGACTCTTAACCATTACTATGTACTAGTTTTTAAACTAGACCAAGAAAGTATTATTTAATTTGATGTCATAATTTAATTATTCGATGTGTTTTGGAAGCAAATTAAAAAAAAACTTTAGATTCGTTGAATCTAAATTAATACCGAACACGGAATCACGAACGTAACCTTTAACTTTAAATTAATGAGTTATTATGTGTATATAAAAATTATTTCACCTACCGCAATGTATAAATAATTTGGCTTTATTATAAATACACTTATTTAAATTGTAGTATTGTACAAAGATGCCATTCATTCTAAGACCCTATTATACCTAGAAACAATAATTCCACATAATTGCTTAATGATCGTTCGATGTACGTCAAAGCCATATCACTAGACGTCTTGTTATTGACAATTACAATTCAACGTGTTTAAATAAAACGCCTTGTGCTATTAGATTTTTGTATTATAATTGATTAAAATGAGTCAATATGTTTACTTTTTGCAGATTTATTACGGTCACGGTTAGTAATGAAGCTTCATTGAAGCCCCCGTGTATATCATCTCAGGCATGTCAAGTACAAAGAAAGAGCAGTTATAATTTACTCAAAATACAAAGCCTTATATAGTATAATAGTAATGATCGGTTGCGCGCCTCCACTTATTGTTAGCACGTCGTAAGCACAAAAAGCTGCCATCCACACAATTTGTTTGCAGCGTAATCATATCACATCCGACAGAATAGTGAAGTTCATTTATGTCAAGATTTTTATTATGTTAGAAAGGATTATGAATTAAGCGAAGGTTATGATGAATGTTATTTTTATTTACAGTTTCAACAAACTGTAATCAATTGTTCAGATATGTATTGCTGTATGTAGCACCCTTTATAAAATACTTTTATTACTTTGTATATTAATGTAATAAAAAATGTTACAACATACATATTTATTATTAATTTTCGATCATCTAATGAGAAGAAGCAGTGGTTAAGTATTTGTTTTGAAAGAGATCATTATCCGTCAACAGGTTGCAGGCGGGAATGCGATATCTATAATTGTACTTTTAACGATTTGGGATCGAACCGGCCCTAAATGCCTAGTCACGGCCATGCAATTTGTCTAAAGTCGTTTAATCATGATTAGTCACAATGGAGCCCACTTCTATTAAATGGTTTAGATGATATAAATAAAAGAATCTGGCTACGCTTTATATTCGTTTCTAACTACTGTTATAATTTAGACTGCGTTTGTTTTTTTTTTTGTATATATATAATATAAAACATTTTCCTTTAAACGTGTAAAATCTTAATAAAAAGCAAATTACCCTAAAAATTTCGATGTTTTTACATGTGTGTTGTTAAGTTGGTACCTGCCTAAAAGCGTGGCATGTTCGAAGATAAGATGATCCGGCGCCGTCTGCTATAGAGTGTTTAATCGGTTTAATTTATCAATAATTGACGGAAAACCTTTTTGTTTGTTTTGCCGGAAAGTAACAGTAATTGTCACGCCTTTGAAGATTTACGTCCGCTTCTAAATTGAGACATTAACAATCGGATCTCATGCCTAATGGTTTGGAATGAATTTATTTCTTTACCCGAACCGGTTTTTCGATAAATTTGATTAGTCCCATTACCAAAAAATGGACTCGAAGTGTTACCTCATAGACGATAACTTGAGTAATAAAATAACCGTAATATGAAATTGTATCCTAATAATACTAATTGCGCATTTCACAACGCGCTTAAAAATGTCAACGCGTATACAATTTATGTTCAAAAAACGTTTATCGTCGGTCCAGCTTACCGTTTCGTGTGTAGGTAAGCAATATGTTATATAATTATCGATTTACAGGGAAGTCATTATGTTTTCGTTGAGAAGATGTCACGCACTATTCTTTCCTTTGAAATTAATGTCACTAATTGTAAATCTTCGTTACGTATTGGAATTGTCAACAATACGTGGTCACCCAACTGCATCACGTCCGAAACGAACAGGCGGCTTCAGTTAACAAGTGAGTGGCGTCACGTCGTCTAAATGAATTCTTGGCCTTATGGGGACCATAAACCGATGAGACCGGAGGCAATCAAGCGGCACCACTCAGTAAAAAACAGTTCGCGCCGGCGGGGTGCCAGCCGCTAGCAACAATCTAAACGTGGTTGACGCCTACGTATCACACCCGCTGTTATCCCATTTCAATTAGCAAATCAAAGGCAGCGGTAACTGAGGTGCCAATATTATTAATGACGACTAAGAATTCATAAGTTGCTCAACAACTCCTTACATAAGATCGGGAATACATGTAATAGATCATCTAGTTGAGAGAAAATTAATTAGATCTTTTTTAAACTTTCCTATGTATTATGGTATGGTCGTCCAAACATCGAAATAAATGACACCATGAAATACGACATCAACATTGTTGTTTGATCCACTGCTGGGAAACCATTTAGTGCTGTAACAAATCAATAAATATATCGGTTTATTGGAACCTATGTGGATATCGATTTGATTTATTTTCAAGTTACAAAGTGGACGAACGAGACCTTGTTAGTAAATGTCGAAAACCCCGTTAAATAAAAAACTTTTCTATTAAAACGATTGAGGGAATATCGGAACCGTTAAAGGTGCTTTAAAAGGTTTTTTTGTTGCCTTTTTTAAATAAACTAGATTAATGAGATACAAAGAGATGACTGAATTGTAAATAAAAAGATAATTTAATTTTAAAACAAATTTTGATTTTATTTATAAAATGAAAGCTGAAATAGGACGTAAAAGTAAGAAGTATTAATATTTTTAATATCACTACTATAGCAAAATACACTTTCCAAAACATAACAACGAATTGGAAATTTATAAACAAATATAAAAATATCTTTTTCTTTGATATTGCAAAACAGCACCGGTAGAAATAAGTAAATAATTAAAGTGGAGCAGCCCTTACGGTTTGTGCTTAAAAAATGCAATTAATCAAAATTTGGTCAGTAGCTAGAGCCGGCCGTAACGCCTCGTAAACCCATATCGATTTAATCGATAAGTTGCGTAAGCTATTGTCAAAAACTGCTTTGTCATAGTGAACAAAGGCGGTAGTGGGCACCTTATTAAAATTTAGACGGTCTCGATGAATCGTTCTGTTTTGATAACCGCTTCCGAAGACTATTGACAATTAACGTAAAGCATCACTGGGTGAAAGCGGTGTTTATGACAGTTTCTATTATGTGTATGATAGATTCTTGAAGTTTATTGTATTGATAATGCTTTGTGATCGAACAGGAAAAAATATATGAATTATTTTCTATGTATTGGTCAGCCCACGAATTGTATTTAATACTTGAGTGTCTTACTTTGGCCGTACCAAATTTTTCACCTTTGTAACCGTTAATTCTGGTTAAAGTTGGACTGCTTTTATACCTAATTCTAAGGGATAATCTCACTGCACAATTCCTAATGATTATTTTTATCAGACCGTAGCAATAATTACATTTTTATTGTCTCATTATTGGATACAAAAATAAATATTTATATATTTGTATGAGAAACAAAATACATTTGTTATAATTTTTGGTAAATTTTAAACACGTAATAAAATAGTATAACATTTCATAAGTAATTTAAACTGAGATAAGTAACTAGCAGCCTTCAATAGTATTAATTCCTATAAAGCAATTAAAATCATTTATCTAGGCAAGAAATATTAATCCAAAATAAGGTACATACTCTAAGTTCTTTGTTTACCCTTATTATTTGTTTATATTTTGGAATTTCGTATGTTGCTTCCAGTCCAGTAAAAACGATTTCCAAAACACACACAAAAACTTTTTTCGACATAGCCGCGACATAATCTAATACAACAAAATAAAATAATAACATTAACAGAATTATCGGTCACGAAATCGGACTAATAATCTGCAAGGAAAGTATGTCGCTGTTCAGTTATGAAATTTAATCAATTTTGTAGGTTTCACTAGCGTAGGCTTGCCTGCCGAGAACCAAGCACGCGTTTCTTTATAAAAAGTGCCGGCATTGTGTGCGATCATTTTGTTACAAATTAGATTAAAATTCTCTCAGCTAAGTTTCTTCAACACTCCACAGAGTTAAAAACATAACAAATTTTTGAAATATAATAAGCGATAAATATTTTGAAAAAAGGTAAATGATGGTCTTGATATCATTATGTATGGTCTATCATATCATTCATAAAAATTAAGGATATGTGGATGTATCGGTATTTGTTGCTCTTTTATGCAAAAACTAGTAAATAGATTTCGATGTTACTTTACAGTAAATAAAGTATTTTAGACATCACAAAAAATAAAGATTATGAATTGAGCCACCATACCGGCTCATCGCCATAAGACCAATACTTAACAATTTTATTGTAGATAAAGTTATGTTATTTTATATTTTGCTGTCGGTTGGCAGCTATATTTATTATTTAAGCGCACTTTATACATTTCACATTGAATCTTATTCAGAGTCTACAAAGTCCAAATAGCTCGAAAAATCTATTATTTTATATATTTTCAAAATTAATAATATAAATAAAGAATTAATTTATCATTAAAGCTGTCTCGATACCGCAAGCAATGTATTATATAAAAAGTATAAAAAAATGATATCATTTCTAGTAGATTCGTATGTCTATCTGAAGTGAAGCGTAGAACTCCTTCAGCAGGTGGTCCGATCCGGTCAACACGCTTTGATATACCGAAATTATCTAATAGAATCAATCCTAACAACATCTCTGTACTGCCAATCTCTTCTTGAAATTAAAATAATTTTATTTTATTTAACTACCTGAACAATGAACAGTCACAAGTAGGAACAAATATGTGAGCATTTGCAGACTAAGACTTGGATCGCGTGCAATTTTCGCTTACAACGTAGTCATGGGCGCGCTGGAATCGGGCAATTATTTTAAACACATTTCAACAAATGACGATAATGTCAGCCAGAAACAGAGATAAGAAAAAAACAAACGCATTGTACTTTCATTTTAAGTCTTAGATCAACTATCATAAGGAACGTATCACCATAACAAGCATTGAGTATTTTTTCTCTGCACTTACTGTTCACTTCATTTTTATTTATAACAACTATACTTTAAGGTTTCATGCACCAGGCTCTATTAGTGTAATAGTTGTTGCAAGTATGGTTAACGTTTTATCTTAATTACCAAAGACTAGTTCTAGTGAAACACTTGCAGTTTTCATGAAGTCACGTTTAACATTAAATATTTATAATGCGCAAAGTTATACGTGACTTTATTTCCTCTTAAACTTGTTAAAGAGAATATGTGTGTTTAAAAATAAACATAATCAAATTAAGATGTTTACTTGCTCGGTGAAACATTCTTAAGTAATGACAACAGTTGTGAATTTTATGCCTGCGATCCAATTACGTATCGTATTTTTGTTGTTATTCCCATCACATCGAGAACCTTATCTCCTAATCCGGTCTCCAGTGATATCGTAAACCAGAAATGGTCCTATAAGCAAAACCAGTTAGCAAAGCACTCCCTATATCCCTTTAGTATTTACTAGCAAGCACGTAAAAATTTCTAAAAGATATGAACACATGATATTGGATGGTATTTTATTCCCTTTATGAACTAATTTGCACTGTGTGGAGTCTTCGCAACAGAGGTTGTTTTTGTTGAATCAAACGCAATGGAATCGAAGAGTTGTCTTGACCACAATTATCGCAATTGGCTAGTTAGTCCCAGTAAAACGCCCATCGTTTTCATCCTGATAATGTCGAATGTCCTCTTAATAAATAACTTTAATCTGAAGGGGATTGTAAAATTACATTTTAATTATCCAATATTTCTTCGTTCCTTTATTAGTGCTAAAATGGAGACATGTTAGCGATTTTAAAATGAATTAACGACTTTTCTGCAATAAATATAGATCCTTTTAAATAATTCTAATTATCTGTGAATAAAACCCGAATCAATATGTTCAGTTAGTTAATCGGTAAAGTCGTAAGGTAGGGAAAATATAAAGTGAATTAAGCGTAGCATGAAAGTGAAAGGTTTTATAGAAGTTCAAAACCATGTATCAGACCTACAGTTTTTTTTTTCTAGTAGGTGTATACCTCAAAACACATTGTTCTCATATTACATGATATCCGTTGCTAAGCCGTCGGCCATCATCGTAACTAATAGACTATATTCGGGGTTGCACTTCATTGGCTTTACCAACTGACCTCCCAAAACATATTGACATAAAATAACTAAAGTTCAATATCCCACTGGTCAAATACCCTTATTGGATTTAGGTGTTAAGCGCTATTTAGATAAGCAGAGCCCACATTTTGGTAATGACCTCGGCAGCTCAGCTTAAGTTTAAATGCGATTACCTAGTTACTTTATACTATATACATATAAACTATACTATGATAACTTTTGAAATTTAAAATGTATTAATTCTCTCACTTAAAAATAAAGTATATATAAGAGTAAATAAGTTTATATATCAAATATTGTGACGATGCTTTTATTTTTATTAGGAATTTATGTATTATTTTAAATTGAGTCATTATTACTTGAATAAATGAAATAAATAATAATAATATTCAATAATGCATAAAAATAATGTTATTGCTGGAAACATTTAATGCACGTATAACGGTTTTCATTATGCTCGAAAACTAAATGACGTATATAAAATTACTGTAAACCTGCACGCAACAACTCTGTAACATGAGATGCAGTACATCAATGTATTTTGTATAGGCTCATTATTTAAATAAATTATCAGTTTCACTATTTCGGAAATGAATGAGTTTAAAAGTTTTATTTTTATTTCAATTCTAATAGAACAAGAAATTGCAATCTTACATTATTATAGTAGCGCTATTGTCTCTTGTAATATCTGTTAAGAATTTTTTTTATATTAAACAAAAAAAAATCTTAGAATTTCTTTTGTTTAAGAAACAAATTTGAGATATTACAAAAAAATAAATTTACTTTACCACATATTTTAATAAATAACAAGTTATATAAAAGCAAAAAAACGTACACACAATTTATACACATTTGATGTGTTTAACATTTAGTTGTAAATGAATTGATTAACGAAAATAATTTTTATATAAAACTGAAGTATTATTACTAAACAAATGACGAGATATTAAAAAAACAAACAATCTATTTATTAATTACGATTTGTAAAAAAAATAGATAAAAATAACAATAAAATATAAAGACGAACTGTGACATTACGAACGTCATGGTATTTTGATAAATGTAATGTCAATAATATTGTGAGACAGCGAAATTTCTAATAATAACTTTTAAAAAGATATCAAGATAAACAAATAGAGAGAAAATAACTTATTAACATAGCTGAGATTCACGCATGAATAAGTTCTTACATTCTTATATAAGATACTTTAATGACCTACACGCTTCACGTAATAAAAATCTCTAACGTAGGAATTGTTTTTCTCGTCCGCAATTCATAACAACTTTTATCGCTTAGTTTAAAAAAAGTTTTCTGATTGACTTTTCAAGTGGCCATTAAATGTCAGCTGTTTTTATATTCAAAAAAGGATGTTTAATTTTAGGTTTTGTTACACAAATCGTTTTATATTAAATTCTAAAACTTCGTTCAGAAACATTTTTGTTTAATAACTTTATAAATTATTTTAATCCACACTTCAGAAAATTTAATATCTAAAATTTGACAAGATCCTTTTTCAAAACTTCTTTACAACCGGAATGCGTGAATCGGCGCTCAGTTACAAACCCGGTCGTGATAGCTTCAGGCGTCCTAGCAATGCCTAAGCGGGAAACATTTTAGCTCCTGACTGTTACAAAACCTTTTACCATCGATATTCAACTTTAATAATTTGTAAATACCTTCAGAAATAAGCCGCTCTCGTATCTCCCAAGCGAAAATGGTAGGGTTTTCTCTTTTGTATTGTTCTATCTTTGAAACTACTGCTGGAGTAGCGACCTTCGGCTTACTGCCACCGATGAGACCAGGTGGTCTTAATGTACCTGAAATTTTTCAAAATTAATCAAGTTTTTCATTTATATATAATTTTATTACGAAACTTATAGAAAGGATGTTTGAAATCTTTACGTCTTCTTTGTTATAAATTAATAAAAATATTAGTTATTATAGCACTGAGGTACGAATGAAACTGCTGAAATCGGGAAGCGATAAAAATCTCTTATCAAAACAATGTTGATGTGGAATCATAGTAATAAAACCTTTTCAAAATTGAGAAGGATGATTAAAATTGATTATTATCAATCGAAAAAGTTTTGAACGACCTCAAATAAAAAAAACCATATACAATTTAATTGAGAACCTCCTCACTTTTGAAGTCAATTAAAAACATATCTTTAGACCATTAAAATCATTGAAGGAGTAACACCTGAAAATGTGACGATAAAAAAAAAATATTTCTAAATCCGTGATAGAAATACCAAAAATGGTTACACGGTACCGATTGATGCAGTTTCGTTGAGGATCAGACGTGAGTAAACGTGCCACAATGACTCGCCGTCATATGCCGATGACATATATGGTTCTTATCTCACTACGGCCAACGTTGAAATTGCAGCGGAACTCAAATATATGAAATATAAGAAATATATGAGCGTTCCAATATTTAAAGGAAAGGTGGACGTGCTTACTTTAGAAAAAATATAATCAAAGGCGCAGCGCAGAATAACAATGGAAACTGCAAATTAGTATTAATTACAGAAACAATGACATCAGTTTAATAATGTCGGCACATCGCGGCACGAATCCATGATTCGTTTTTAGTTATAAAAACGACGGATGGCTTCAGGAATTCAAATTTATTAAGCACTATTAATTGTTCTATATAAAGCTTACTGGCATTGTTTTACATTGTAATAAACATAAACGTAAGTTTTTTTCGTCAAACCCCTGGCTTCATTAACAATTTTACATCCGTTATGATGTGGTAATAAATATTGTTGATTATTTTATTTACAGACCCTGTTTAAATACAATAAAAAAAGTGGCACACCGATAACTTAAACGTCCTATAAATATATTATTCGATAGAAAATTGATATTTCATTCTAAATTCTATATAAATAATTTTAGAGACGTGGAATTGGTTAAAAAATTGTTGGATTCTGTAATTCCTAAATCAGTTAGTAGATAATGGATGAGTGCGTGCTTCGAGACAATTACACAAAAAGGCTTTGGAGGCAGCATTCCGTCAGCGGTAGCTCGATACGTTTTTACTTCTCAACAGCCCTCCATACCGCTCACGCTGAATAATTCATAACATTATTTATATTCTCATTTTTGTCAACACCATTCACGATAAATTCATACGGGTCTTTATGTCTTGATAAAACTAAAGCTTAATACCCTATATGGTTGTATTTGCAAAAAGATGTACGACATTACACATTGCCTTCCCACCATAGCCTTTTTAGACTCATTATAGTAATCCTTTACAATGGATTTTAATGTAAATGTATTTAAACAGTATTTGGTGGTAGTTAAGTAGCATTTTTTATGTTTATTAAATTTGCATTAAGTTGTAGGCAATTTTGTATATTAATAAGCAGAATAGATTTACTAAAAACATGTTTCTCTTGAAAATGAATACCATAAAACATCTACTTCAACATTAAATCTTTGTTACTGTTTACGTTAAAATTGACTGCATGATCTTTACTATCCTTTTATCCTACTATTATTTTGAATGCTCAATAATTCACTGTACATCCTTTCATGTCTACATAAAAAAATGTTTTCAAAAATATATATGTATAATTTATTTTTCAAAAATTATAACTGTAAAATGAAAAAAATAATTAAATTTCTTACCAAAAAATTCTGACCAATGAATGGAGAAGAATTATAAGGTGGGAATCCCAGAAATTTGTCAACAAAAAATGTATTCATCTACAACGATACCAGCTGAGTGAGCTGTAGTTATTATAAAAAGATACATTTTATAATAACTACAGCTCACTCCAATTATAGGTTGAACTTAAAAATATGGACTTACCATAATCTATTTTTATATGTATATATTGTACAGCACTAACAGTTTTAAAACTTATAAATTAATATTTAACATGAAATTTTTACATTACATAACTTAAAAAAAAAATCTATCTTATAATTTTTTAAATTAAATCCATTAGTATCAGTATATGTTCGACTCCTGTCTGGAAGTATGCTTTTCGTGATTGATAGCTAAATTGCTGGAGGCTAGAATACTGATCATTTTGTAGTAATTAAATCTGCTAGGAAGGTAATCGCATGACCGGAGCCAATTACCGTCTTTACTTTGCTTGCATTGACTAGACATGGATGGACCGTGTGAGGTATCTGAAATTGTTATAATTGCGTAAAATGCTTACTTCCAAAGACGTTTATTCCTCTACAATCGGTTTATATTTAAAGATAATTGTAGTACGAATTTATTGTAGGTATTCAAATCAAGTTAGTAGAATTATTCTGTAATATTTATATTTGAGAGGTATACCATCAAAATATTGAATAATTTTCACACGGTAAACATTTTGTTGTTCAGACATGAGACAGATATTAACAATTAATCATGAGTCGAGCCATATCCACAATACACAACGAAAACTTTAGTTAATAAATTTCCAAAGAAGAGTCATTTATAGCCGCTTAAAGTCATTACACGGTGCCTCCACAAAGCAGGCAAAGATGTTTTAGAAGGTTCGATTTCGGTTGATTAAATTTGTATTAAAAAGTATCTTTATATTGCCTGGCGCTAACGTTTGGAAATAGCCACGTCACCCACTTAATAGATCAAAATCGTTCATAGCAAAGTGGATGTGGTTAATAAAATGCAATTCGTGTGCTAACGATACATGATTCGGTGATTGATCGATTTTTTTTATAAAATTACTTGCTTTTTCAGAAGCTATTAAATATAATAATTGACAATATTTTTAACAATTTTTATAATTTTAAATGTTTACAAATACATTTTGTACGAAATGACCTCTATATGAACATATACCTTTCGCGGCTTAATCGTGGGTAATAAGAACAATATCCATAAAATAACCTTTTAAAGTCTCAACGTAAATCTTAATAAATCACTTCATAAAAAATATTTAGGATAAGAATATATAAAAGTTAACTTCTATATGACTTTCGAACAAATTAAATTGATTATTTTGAAATATAAATTTATGCAAAATATTTCATTGACTATAACATATTACCAGAAAAATTTATACTGAGTTCCTTTTACATTTTTTAATTTAAAAAGTAATAAAATCGTAACAAATATATCCTTGTCAATAAAAGACATCATTAAATATTCAAACTCGCCCTAGGGAATTGGAGCAGAAAAATAAAACCACCATTTCATAGCAAGAATGTCAACCCCGGTAATTCAATTTTGATTATAGGACAAATTTCTAAATACGACTTCATTACTCGCAGCGGCGATCCGCGGACAATCATCTTGAGTAGGTATCATTAACTATCAAATTTAGAATAACATCATAAAATGACCGGTTTCATATTAAATTACTCTGTGATTTTTGTCTTCCAAGACACATGGATATTTTGATTCGAGTTTAATGACAAATTAAAGCTGCTTTTAAAACGTATTTCCGTCATAATTTCGAACACTAGCATTCTTTGATTGAAAGGTTGTTTATGAGTACCCATTTCCACGCAATTGTTTGGGCTAGATAATAACATTTAAGCTAAGGCTAGGTTATGTTAAATACGTAAGTGGTTTTACATGACGGCCCTGGGCGGCTCATAGCCAGGCTTCCGTGAGAACCTGACACGTGACGTTACGAAATCACCACGGGCTAAAATTGATTGACAATACGCTTGATAATAAATAATATTTTAACGTTGGTAGCGATTGCGACTTCAACCTGTTATACCGCACAGAAACCAATAAATTATCTACAAGCAAACTTTGATTGTTCAACGCTTACATATTTCTTGACGTTATTGAATTGCCTCGGCATGGTAACACTAAACAATCATGTCTAGAACTAAATCTTACTAATCAGTATTCGAAACTTTGTCAATATGAAGAGAATAAAATAATAGTTTATTAACTCTATGGTTATTAATTGTGGGTTATTATTATCGTAACGTTGCTAGTAACATATGGGTACGCATCGTTAATTTTACAATCGTTCTTTCACGAGTCTTGAGCAAACACAAACTAAGCATGTGTCCTAATTGTATAGCTTAGTCTTCTAATACCTTGAATTAAGAACTCCCTTGCGTCTAGAATGACAACGTACGCTCTGCTAAGTATTAATAGGTTATTATTCCGCGGATGGATGAATATTAAGCAGCGTTGAATGTATAATATTTAAATATGGAGTAAGATTTAATCTTTCAGCATATCAAACGAATTAATGCAAACATGTTCTAGATCCTCATTCACATGGAGATTGTGATCGCATTGAAAGCATCATAATTACAGGGAAACGTTTGAATAAACGATTAAAAATGAAAAATAACCGATGATAAAATAGTAATGACAAGAATCCTGCACTGGTTAAGATTGCTAGAGGCAAAATGTTCATCGCAGTCCGGTGGCTTATAATTAACACATTGCAAGTTTTATGAATCGATTAAAATCTAAGCTTTCGTCAATCGTTGTTCCATTCGAACAGAACAAACCTTATCATTGATTAATAGGAATGGAAGTTTTTCACTGAAACCGTATCATTAAAAGAACATTTATACATATCGTACCGCCTCGTTTAATAAACTATACCGGTCAGTGACATTTTATAAATGAATTTTATTAAATTTTTGTTATTTGTTTTAAAAATAATATAATTACTGATATAATTTATCAATTAACATAATTTTTTGTTCAAGAATAACTTAATGGACATATAAACAATCCTAATAGGCCATGTGGTAAATATCTTAGGAGATAAGAATAAAAGCCTAATTATGAGAATATTTTTTAAAAGATCATCAACACAATTAAACAGAAACTCTGTGGATTGACGATGTCGTTCATTATTAATGTATGCGCTAATTGCAGTAGAAACGATACCCACTAGGCAAGTCGTATTATCAATTACTATGAATGTTACAGAGTTTACGACTTTTTTATTGCAATATTCATTATCATTGCAAAATGTTTCTTGAAATATAAGCGAAATGGTAATCTGATTTAAAAGGAATACCATGTCCTTATAAAATAGAATAAACATGTTTAATATATCTGTTGGGATTTTTTGTTTTATTTTATATTCTGACCTTAAAAGGGAAATTCTTAAAATAATCTAGATACCTACGTTATTTTTTATGCAACCCGCATAAGAGTGATTATAATTTATTAGAATGAATATGAAACAAAAAGTTGCAAAAAGTCAAATTATTGTCATGACAACAAACAGACCTAATTACTTAATTATATCATTCATGGCTTAAAGACAGTGACTGAAAACAATTTTGTATTGCAATAAAACTAAAGATCTAATAGATGTTTATATCAATTCAATGATATAGTTGAAGCTTACCAAGCAGCTTCGTAACAGCACCTTGCTGAGACAGCACGTGATGAGCTATGTCGTAGTGACGCAAACCGAAGCGAGACAGTTCGAGTAACCGCTGTTGTGACAACAAAGACGACAATGGGTGTGAGGCGCCCGCGTACAAGGTGTTCGAACCTCCAGATGATGATGGTGACACTGGCACTAGAAATAAAAAAAACAATATTCCTGATACATACTTTGTATATTCGTTTGAATAAAATAAGAAAAATTTGCACTTATATTTATATATGTATTTAGAAAAAATATATTATTACTAGTTATGTACTAATAGGACAGTTAGCAGTTATAATGTTTTTGGTTTGTGACTATAGTCACATGAACTAATTATTTAGAATAGATTAAACGATAATCATATTAAAACAAAATATGATGAATGATTATTAATTTCATAATAAAATAAAAAAATATATCATTAATGATACAAAATAATAGTCTAAATTCTTAAGTGAATCACTTAACTAAATTAATTTAAAAAAAAGTAGAACTATAATGAATTACTTGTTTAAAGAAACAGATGTTTTAACTCGTTAGACAATTAAATCATTAATGCAATCCTCAGGTATTACAAATATGCTTCAACGTAGGTATATGAAAAGAAAGAGCTCTCTTATTGAAGGCAGACGCCATTCATAAAAACAGTATAAAGGCAACTTGAGAAAGTTCCTTCTGTGCTATCAAAATTCTTTATAATAGACGACTATATTACATTCCCTGTAATATTCACTTAATGTCCACTTCGGTAACAACATTAAAAGTTCACTGACGATAACGCTTTGAAATGAAATAAAAATGACAGTTCGCAAATGCATTTTAAACGAAAAGGTAATAAAATTGTTTAACATAAATATATACCGAACGCGATCCGGGAACCAAATTAAAATATCTCTCCGACATTTTAGGTGTCAACTTGCAACGGCTGTATATATTTATACAAGCAATTTGTCGTTAACTGACCAGATATGCTAAAGGCCGATCGTAACAATGCTTTCTTATGGACAAGTCGTAATATATTCAATTATAAATTAAGCTATTAACTTAATACACCATAATTTGTTTATCAGGTTAAGCATCGAAATTAATGCAAGTGGCATAACTTGTTCATAACTTCACAGTTTTTATTAGCGAGTCCGTAAGGCGATTTTGTCAAGAAAGGTAATGTGGTCCTTTTTATGTTATTATGCGATAAAAACTTCTAATCCCTATAGTTAAAGTTTAAAATGCTCTGCAACTAGGAAGTTGATCGGCCACTCGGAATTGGACTTCGATGTATAATTTCTGGTGTAATCGCTTTAATAATGGAAGAAAAAAGTGATATTATCTGCCCACGGTCAATAAATTAACACCGTTTAGAGCGAAAATGTAGAGACTTAGTGTCGCTACTATTATAAATAAAGAAAGTTGGAATCGAAGGAGGTTTAAGATCGTTCGTGTCAGTGAGTGCGTGTATATGTTTTTATTTGGGTGCGTGAGGCCTTATTAAAATATTTCGAGTGGAAACTGGAAGGACCACTTAGTGGTGCGCGGGAGTTTCACGCCTGAGCTGATACAACATTAAGTCGACAAGATAGCTTATTTGTGCTCCGCTAAGGATTAGGCCCAATAAATCACTGATTAGAATGTATTGACTGGCGTTGATTCCGACTCACGGCTCTCTCGCTCTTGTTTATCAACATATAAATTTTTACGTGTTTATAGTTTAATTGTTCGACTTTACTTAGCGGGTCTAGTGGTTACGGGTTGTTTGTAAAGATAACGTTTGCAAATTAAATAAATATTTTATTACCTTAATTTTATCGACATAAAATTAACAAACCCAAAAAAAAAGTATTACGTTGACGACCGGTTAATGGTTATGATCTGTCTGTAATTTTATATTATAGTATAAAACGTTAAATATTTTATAGATCTTATTATAAATATTTATTATATTTAAATAAAATACTTAAGATGTCCGTTAATTCGCGGTGTGGTGTTCAAAGTATTCGATATTTATTTAACTGGAAGTACAAGTATGAATGCAAAATTATAGGTGCGCGGGCGCAGGTGTAAGTGATGCATAGGGGAACCACACTAAATGTGAACACTTTAACACGAAACATTATTTTACCGTGTTTCACAACTATTATTTTCACCATGAACCGGAAAATTGGCACCTATTGTATGAATTTTAATAATGCAATGAAAGTGTCTTCTGAATTATTCACGATTGTAACAGAATATGAACGTTAGTCTTGAATATTACACTAATTCTTATGAATTAAAAAAAAATACTGAATAATATTTTGAGTTTGATGTTTGTTACGGTCGTGAGCGGTTAATGGTGTACAAAATTTATTTATACAAAACTCACACAAATTACTCACCGGAGTTCATATAAAGATCTCAAATTATCGTTTAGGCCTAAACTTGTTTCATTGTTGGTAATTAAATGATCACACATTCTTAATGTGACTTTAAGTAATATATGGACATTATGTTATAAATAAATTTTTAAACCAATTGTTACGTACAATAAGCAAAAATCTTAAGATGTAATTATTTATTGTAATTCATAGTAACAACTAACAGTTTACTTTATATTTAAGTGAAAAGTTTGACATATCTTAAATACAAAGATATCACTATATATGATAAAAAACCAAATCATTTAAATGAGAATTTTGTATAAATTTTATAAGAAAAAATATTTCATGTATCAAACACAAAAATTTATTTAAAATTATTTGATTGAATTAACACATTTATAAGTTACAATAAATGTTTTTTAATCAACGCATGCGTGATCTAATAATCATGATTTCATCTAAGATTTATATCTACAGTTCTTAAAAAAAGTCTTGCCATATAAAACTGTCTTTTCACTAATAAAATATACGATATTAGCATTTAATGAAGTAATAAAAAACAAACTATGTATTTCAACCAAAATATTCGAGTTGCCTAATAACAGATCAATTTTATGTCTACTTTCGTTGACGAATATTATTATTCTTATGAATAAAATTAAATATATGTATGTAGATTAAAATGAATTGATTTTAAATATGTCATAATTGTATAAACAATATAGGTATATAAAAAATCCAAAAGAAAAATAAATACAAGAGAGCGGTTTAAACAAGTGTCAGACAACGGTTTTTTATTCGAGCTGAATTAACAACAATGTATTGATGCATATTAACTAATTAAGTAGCATTTTAGTTATCATAACCAGCTGGTTATGCTTAATGACCATTTAAATATTAATCACATTCGAAGATCACCTGATTAAATTCACACCATATATGTATTTACGAATAAAAAGAACGCCGCTCGTTCATAGTTACACACATGTATAGATATTATACATATAGATTTAACGTCACATGTACTTGGAATGTTTGTTTATTAGCATAATAGTGATCTACTGTTTGCTTCATGCTGTACCTTCAACTTTGAGTTTTCGTTATGATTAATTATTTCATATAAAGATAAAATATAGGAGTATTTTTTACTTTACCATAACTGTAAATTTGGTTTAAAAAATTTTGAATCAGATAAGCTGTCTAAGGGACAACTGTTTTCGTTTAGGACTGTAAGCTTTCAAAATGGCTCTACTACTTATATATTTACATGGCTATAATTTAGTACAATATATCAATTTTCATGCAAAGGGTTTGTAACGTTATAACAAAATATTATTTCTATTGTTTAGGTATATTAAACTGGTTAATGTTTAAATATTCGATAACAAATACATTTAGTGCTAATTATTAATCAATTCCTTCTACAAGCTTTTAAAATAAACAGACAGCTACACACTCTTAGATATATATAAAAGTTACATACATACAGATATGTATAAACAACATATTTGTAATATGTTTAGGATTCCTGACTGTGGTGAAACAAAATATTATTATGAGAAAGTCAAACGGCAGCTGGATTTACATATATAAAAGTTTACGATTGACTGTGAAAGTTAGATATTAAGGCATCACCAGTCAAAAAACATTTTAAATTTATAAGTTTAGTTGAGAAATTGTTTCATTTCTTGTTACATATGCTGCACATATGAAATCCCTAATGCGTAAGGTTTTGGACCAAATAAATCAGATTATGCAGCTGCACTACTGATGATTTAGTTAGAATTATGTAGTTATAATAGCATTACTCCTGTAAGGTTTCTGACATATCTTAAATATTTACAACTGTTCCTTTGATGATCTAATGTCAAATTGTCACCTACTTCAGAACATTCATATCAACAACAAAAACGCCACACGATCAATACATAATAAAATGCTGACCTAAACGAACAATTAGATATAATACCTATATCTTATTATTATTTTAAAACTTGTAAATTATGTTAGCTGTAACTTGAAGAAATATTTCAATTAAAGTAATTTCTGACAGGAATATTTTTTAAATTGAAACTACGGCGGAAAATAGACTTGTACTTCTACGTGATAAACACGGTTCATTAAGAGATCTATCGAGTTTCTATTCACTTTTAAATATGAGGACAAATCTGTTTTAATAAATATATAATTTGTCAGGACAGTACGTTACGTTTTTATAAAATATACTTTTATATTGAAAATTGTTCTAAAGATTAAGATCATATAATCGAAATTGCAAAAGGGGGATTCTATCGTCACGGGTGGGACACTTGTAACTCGATTTTCAGCGTGTGTTGCTTATTTACGCTAATTATATCAATAATATCTAATTGGTTTATGAAGAATATAATAAATCTATCCATGTACTTTTATAGGTACAATAAAGACGGGAATAACACCATGTAAAATTTAATAAAGAAGACAGCAAATGTTTGTCAAAGTTGTGACATTCTTGTTACACATGCATCATCTTCTATATATATAAAAATGGATTGCTGTTCCTTAGTCTCGCTAAAACTCGAGAACAGCAGAACGGATTTATCTTATCTTAGTCTTGAAATGTTCGTGGAGGTTCAGGGAAGGTATAAAAGATGAAAAAAATTGATTCATTACTGGGAAAACCATAAAAACAGCCCTTTTCTATTTCCCATACAAACGTTTTTTTTGACATTAGATTTGACAACTAACTAATATGTCAATCATTCTGTCGCACTTCAAAACACGGAGATGTATGGCTTACAGGTAAACTCCAAAAAT